ATACTTATTCTTCTTTCTTTCTTTTCTTTCTTTTTTTCTTTTTTTTTTTTTTTTTTTTAAATTATAAATACAAGTAGGACAATGTAAGAGTGACGGAAAGTCGATGGACATTTGATCATCTTACTTTTAGTGTTGTAAATGAGTAACGAAAATATGCAGCACAATCATCGAAGTTTTGTCGATATCTTTGGCGGATATTATCCTCTAGAATGTTGCAGTTATTACTGGGATACTTTTAAAATGTATTATTTTCAAGATTTTCAATGACATACCCTCTGAAACTATTAGTTTTTAAAGTTTCGATAATAATTTAAAGTTATAGCTAATAAATCATACGAATGCTTTTAGAAGATATGATAGCGGCTTATATCACATGCTAGTTTATATCTCTTATATTAATTGTTGTGTAATTTTTTAATTTCATTCTGCTTTTGAATTTTTTAAACAATATAAAGGTCAGTTGGTAGTTTTTGAAATTTCAGCTAATAAATTGACTATTCCAATCACTTGTAAACAAATTTTCTACAACATCGTATGAATCATTCTACGTAATGAATAGGAATTGATAAAAATTTTACCAAATTCACAGAATATTTCTCTCAACTAATGCAATAAGCCAAATCTTGAAGTATTTAATTAACCCTTTCATTAATTGGTGCATAAAATTTATAAGATTGTAATTTGTAAAAGCATAAATATGATGTCAAGAGCAATTATAGATTGATTTAGTTTAGCACATTTCTATGCTTACTTTCTCAAAAAAAAAAGTGAAATTATTTGGATAATGATAAATAGAAAATTTTAAACTAAGCTGTTTAGAATTTACCCAACCTCTCCTTGTAAATGTGATCGTTTGGTCGAAGAGTTCAAATAGAAATTCTGAATTATAACAATTTAAGTGTGAACTGTATTATGAAGTGCATCGTGAATTTGGATGAAAAATTTATTGTAATTTAAAAAAGTTTAGGATTAAGTTCTTTATCAGCACAATTTCATTCACTTATTTTCTCATCAAATATCACTTTAAATATCGTTTCCATTATCACTTTAATATTTGATAACATTTTGTTCAAAATTTCTCCTGCTTTTTATTTCATTAAATATCATGATAATTGTACATTTATTATTACGATTAGTAACGCGATCATTATCATTACTATCATCTAAACTTTCTAAACATTTTTTTCCAGCAACATTATCACAAGCAAATCACTATCAGTTTTTCAATCATTTTTTTTTTCTTTCAGATAATTATCAGATTTGATTTTTCTGCATAATACGATATTGATGAGCAGCTTTACGATATGCTGACATATCGATAATTAAATAGATGCCATTCTCATTTTTCAAACATTCTTTCATACTATTATAAAAGAAAAGCGTTGTTGGGATCGATTTCAAAAATGCTTCACCGCGTCGTTCTGAATGCCATAATAATTGCTGGAGAAATTCATCTTCTGTCAATTCATCGGTTGGAATATCGTACTCATATTGCTTTAAAATAATATCATATTCATATTGCTTTTGAATAATGTCGTATTGATTTTGTATTAAACTTTTGAATATACATGAAAGGATTATAACAGAAAATTTTACTGTTACCGTAATGTACGACTGATTATTATCGTAATATTTGTTCGACAGTAATGCTATAATGAGATGATCAAAATTACCTTTATGTATTCATTAATCTTCTCATTAGCAATGCATATATCTTCATCAGACATTCCATCAATCCAATCACGTGTTCGTGCTACCTTTAATTCTTGTACATCATTCCATAATTTACGAAAATTTTCACCAACAAAAATTTTGATGGATGATGGTACATATTTTGGCAATCCATGGTTAACCTATAAATTATCTTCGAAATATTTGTTAATTATTAATTGATAGAAATCAATTAATTGTTATTTTAGAAGGAACAGAAATACAAGTATTCCTTTGTAATTTGTTGTATAAAAGATAAACAAATTGAGTCAATTGATCATAGAACTTTCATGAATTTGCATATCAATTAATTAGAAAAAAAATGAAAAAGAATGTCTAAATCATTTATCATTTAAACACTTATCATTAAATCATTTTTCTGTTATAATTTTAAATTGAATTTAAGAAAAAAAAGACAATTGCACGTAAAACTAAATTAGTGGTCATTAAAACACTGAAGATTGACATTAAAATTTCTTCCATTCTTTTTTCACCCATTTAAACATTTCAATTAGAACTATTTTGTAAAATTTAACCAATCTCAATCATTGATAATAAATTTGAAACCCAACCTAATCATTGATAACAAAAGTAAAACCTGCATATCTTGCAATTTATCCAAATGCTCCGCAATATTCTTCCATCTTTTTGCATGATAACATAAACTATTCCATAATGTTTCTGCCATACATGCATTAATTTGTTTGGGATGTTTTAATCTTGGCAATTTCATTCTCTGTGATTTTTATTTTTAATATCGAGTGAAAAAATCGGTAATATAGAATTACTAATTTTTTATGAATTACATATATGCAAAAGAATTATCAGAAGAATTGTCTATACAACAAGCACAAAAAGAGAAAAAAGAAAAAATGAAAAAAAGAAAAATCATGAAAATATGATGACATATATTTTGTATTCAATTTTAAGTTGTTTTTATTTAATTCCAATCGTACTAGAATTTGGAATTCAATTCTGACTGAAAAGTTAACAAACAAGCAAATATAAAATATGCCATATATCAATAAAATATGAATAATCAAGATTATTCAATTACTCATATCATCATGTCCAACAAGATGGACACAGACTAATTGCTATTATTTCGACAGGAGATTAGCTCATAATGCTAACCATTAAGAAACATTGTTTATTGTAATTTCCTAAATTTCTGCAAGCTAGATAAGATAAGTTATCAATCTGATAAATTACTGATGCGATAGTTTATCAAATAGATGGGTTATCATTCACTACTAATAGCTATAAAAGTAAATATTTTTATTTCTTTTGTCATTTTCATTTTATCTTCTTCCTCTAATTTTGATCTTTCTTATTAATTATAGAATTTATTAAAGAATAGTTCAGTGGGAAATCAATGCATACTCGTAAACCTCGTACAGCCATAGCAGCACACTCGGTGTAACTTCCACTAAAATAACCACCTTCCAAAATAGCCAAAACTTTATTAGGCCAAAGGTCATCCAAGATTTTCATCATATGGCCATATCTATAATGAATTGCCGTCTTGGAGAAAAAAAAAAGATCACTGCAAAATAAAGAACTTTTTTTCTGACAAAGAAATTAAAACAAATTCTGTAAATCAGATCGTTTTCTATTCGACAAAATTTCATATTCTTTCATCTTTTGTTTTTCTTCTAAATTACTATTCTTACTGAAATTTTAACTTTCGAAAATTAAAATACCAAAAATTTGTGAAAATGAATCAAACAAACCCATGAGCTTTTATGCCTTGTCCATGTTCTAATAAATCATCATAATAAGCGCTATCAAATCCAAGTGCTACAAATACTAACTCCGGTTGATACTCTTTGGCAATTGGTATCACAAGATGTTGTAATGCACCAATGTAATCACCTTCTGTATTCATTGCACAATTCAGAGGAATTGATACGATATTATCTGATAATATAATTAAGCTAAATTATTATTTATAGAAATTCCAAACAAGTGTCTTCACCTGTTGAAAATAGGAATTCGACAAGTTAATTTACATATGTGATAACATGCATCGTCACGTATTATTGTTATTGTTAATACACTTGCATTTATTATTGCATGCAATCAGTATCTTTACATCTTTACATATTACACGTCACATGTTTGTTAAATCTTAGTTATACGTTTGTTAATTATTCTTTTACTTAAATTCATAATTACCATATTCATTATTGAATTACAACATGTCTCTCATATGATTATCCTATTCATTCATTTCAAAACCACCGTATTACTTGTTATGATTACCATATTTGTTATCATAATCATATTCTTCCTCATATGGCCAAAATGCTCCATAATGATAAGCATGAAAATTAATGTACAAAAATCGATTATCGCCTTTGAATGAATGATATAATCCATTACCACAGTGATAATCGAAATCTACTACAAGTATCTGAAAGAGATTTCTTTTTTCTTCAATTAATCCGCTTTAATTAGATTTAATTAATTCATTGAAAGTTGAATTTTTAGTTTTTTTCGTGTTTTTAAACAAATATAGTTCATAATTCGTTAAAATTTTCACATTCATAAAAACCTTCCTACCAAAGGTCTAATCTTAATTTTTAATTGTTTCCAATTTTTAAAAATTTATTGCAATGTGAGGGAATTTTATGATGATTTAATTAAAACTATAATGAACAATCAATTTTTTTAAATGTTTCAGCTAATTTTTTCAGACGGCTCAATTTTTTTTTTTTTTTGTATTGATAAAATTTGTTTGAAAATCTTATCTTATTGATGTTACACTTTTCAACAGCATATTTAGCGCCAATTGCGATATTATTAAAGATGCAAAATCCTTGCGGTAATTTCCCATATGAATGATGACCTGGTGGTCGTACAATTGCAAAACCATTACCAATTCTGAAATCATACAATTTAATGATATGCTTTTATCATATGTTATTATGATTAGATAATTAAATGAAATTAAAGTATGCATGCAAATAATGGATATATCTTTGTTGTATATACTTAAACATTATGTGATATACTTTCCAAAACTATAAATAAATAACTTATACAATAAATATAAGTAAACAACATATATATGGTTCAGACAATGCATTGCTTAAATGAGCCACTAAAGAAACAAACAAATGAATAAATAAGCTGAAAAGTAAAGAAATAAGCAAATAGTATGAACCAATATGATATATGTAAACAGCTTAAACAAGTAAACAGAAAGGTAAACAAGTAAACAAAAAAATAACTTCATCGGATATAATTTGTTCATGCATACATAAACAAGTAAAAATCATATATTTCTTTAAAAAACGAAGATTTTTTATAAAATAGAAAATTGATGGAAGAGAAATTTAGAAACCAATGAAAAAGAAATTTGTTGATGTTCATAAACAAACCTGCCCTCAATATTGGCACGTACAAAATCGATGACACCACCAACGACAAGTCGAGCAATACGGACACTATCAGGACATAGCCAAAGTAATTCGTGTCCTTTGCAATATTTCTCCATTTCATCCACTGTTTTCAGTTCTTCAAGTTCTTTGATCAGTTCATGTGGATGATTTAGGCATAATTCCCAGTCTTCTGCTGCTCGAATTTTTATCTTCAATTAATATGTAAAAGGCAGAATTATTGATTGATTGGTTTGTGACCAAACTAGCATGAAATATCTGAGAATAATTCGAATTATAGAGAAAATAAAAGTTGGTATGTTTTGAAGGTATGAATCACCATTATTTGAGACAGGTAACCTTGAATTTTTTTTCTGATCATAATTCATCCAATTTTCAAATTTTACTATTTTAAAAAGTGAATATTCTTTGAGATAACAAACGTTTATTGCATCTTCAAGTAAACCATCATTTTGTAGTCTGGAATAGATTAGGGTTGTTCGTTCCGGTCGTTCTTGAGTTTTTCCGTTTGGATCATACGGATTTACATGCAGCTCCGTGATATGATGATAAACATAGCCAAACATTATTAATGCTTATTGTATTAATTGTCGCAATTACTGTAAATAAAAGGAAAAAATACATGGAATTTTTATTATTCATTTACAAGTAATGGAAAGAATACGAAATGTGTTGAATTAAATTAGTACAAAATGATAAAATACCAATCAAGTAAGAAGATAGAAGAGAAATAATATTTATGATATAACCAAACTGCTGGACAGTAATTTTTGAAAAACTGACAGTAAAACTGAAAACTGGCAGCAATTTCAATTATTCTTTATATATTCTATTTCAAATACAAAGTATAGGTCAACGTTCACTTTAAAAAATTTTTCCTTCATGGGACGAATTTTCAATGAATTTAATCAAACTAGTTGAACTTTTCTGGCAATAAAAAATAGATTAATTAATAAGTTATCACATAATCATTACTATAAAAGTACGATTCAATTTTGAATATAATAAAAGATCACAGAAAGGGAAAAGTTTGAATGAAAATGATAGAAAGTGTGAAATTGTATAATAAGCACTTAACATGAATAAGAATATCTTAACTGTTAGATAAATTTAGAAATGAACAAACAATTGCCTAAAATAGACTCAAAAGCTAAATTCATGCAAATATTTCCCAAATGAAGTATTCCTTCTCCGATCACATCTTTATTTATTTAAACATTTAAGAGATATTTTTACATCAATAATTAATTTTTCAATCCAAATATTTTTGTGGAAAAGTAAAATAACAATTATAAACAGCGTGGGGAAAAAATTAATTTGCAAACACAAAAATCTAATAGATTATGCAATTTGGGAAATTTTTCCTAATTAGCAATTCATTTCAAATTTTTGGTATTTTGAAAAGCAGGAAAATCTTAAATTTGATGAAAACTTTAAAAGAAAGAATTATGTTTGAATTTTGTGAAATGGATAGAACTTATCGAATGACGCAAATTTTCACAAATTTATTCGATTAAATAATCTCTGAAAGTTGATTTCATCAGCTGTTTTATCTCTTCGTCATTCTTGCTGCTTCCTTTTTCAGGTGATAAATTGAGGAAATGATGCTAAATGAGATGATTATCAGTATCATTGGCATATTCAACGATTCATTCTAGCCTAGTTTAGCTCATTTAGCATAAAATATCACTGGCCAAGCATTATTAACTACATCATTAACCATAACGGACCTATTTTAAGAATCTAATATTATGTATAGAATAAAAGATATTTGGGCTATTTATTAATTTAATCGAATCTATTTTTGGAGAATATTTTATTATGATATCATGGGAAAGATAAATCTTCCAAATGCATTATTTAATTCCGATCCAAAAAGAAAAAAGTGTTATGAAATATTTCAAACAAACAATTTATGTCATATTTTAGCAAAATAAATAAAAAGATAGTCAGGCCATGTTTAAATACTAATTTAAATTAGCCAATTAATTTCAATATAGTTTTGATTTCACTGTTATTTGTGCAAAACATTTTGCCAGCCTTTGGCAAATGAAGATAGCAAATAATTTCTTTCGTAAATTTCAAATCTTATCAAAATGATGGACAAATGTCTAAATATACACATTTATTTATTTATATCTTTATTGATTTACTTGTTCAATTATTTATTTATTTGTTTACCTATTTATTTATTTATTTATTTGTTTATTTATTTGCCTATTTATTCATTTATTTATTACTTTACTTACTTGTTTACTGGTTTATTTATTCATTTGCTTATTTATTTATTTGTTCATCCATTTGCTTTCATATTCAAATGATTTATTGACGACATTTCTATTTGTGAAGTTTATTGTCATGCCAATTATTGCATTGATTGTAACATCCCAAGATTTCCATGCAAATTAAAATAAAAATTTCATACAATTTCGTTTAAGCGTCTAATTCTATTCACTGGATTTCATTCATGGTTTAAAATTTAATTAATTTGAACATATTGACCCTGTTTTTCTTTTTATTTTACATTATCCAATTATGCACATCTAGTTGACAGATGATAATTTGATTAATTTCCTTTCCATTTGGCAAATATTTAACATGTGTTTTCTACGTGGGTGTAAAGCATTTTTAAATATTTATAATATGTTGGTTGATATATGTTTTTAATATTAATAATACTTTTCGAAAAATACAGTAGACATTTGAATTCTTCAGTATGTGACAGACATTCAAAACGGCGAAAAAAACTCTTCTTACGTATAACTTTTACTCGAATTCCAATGTTCCGAAAATTGTCGTCAAGGTCGTCTATGTAATTGCAGGTACTTTTGCAACATTTTAAAGTAATTAATATAAGACACATTTTGAAGTAATTAATATAAGATACATTTTCAAGCAATTAAGATACATTTTAAAGTAATTAATATAAGATACATTTTCAAGCAATTAAGATACATTTTAAAGTAATTAATATAAGATACATTTTAAAGTAATTAATATAAGATACATTTTAAAGTAATTAATATAAGATACATTTTCAAGTAATTATGATGCATTTTAAAGTAATTAATATAAGATACATTTCAAAGTAATTACGATACATTTTAAAGTAATTACGATACATTTTAATGTATTTAATATACGACACATTTTAAAGTAATTAATATAAGATACATTTTAAAACAATTAAAATACATTGTAAAGTAATTAATATAAGGTACACTTTAAAGTAATTAATACAAGATAGATTTCGAAGTAATTAAGATACATTCTAAAGTAATTAATATAAGATAAATCTTGCGTGATGCGATTTAAAGAGACTGTTTATAATTAAAATTTAATTTAAAAAACTTAAGATAGTTGTATATTTGAAATATTTGCAATTACATGTGCATACATGTTGATGGAAATTATTTGACTTCCGTCACTTTGATTTCGATCAAAACCAGTAATAGCAAAAATTTTGTCCAGTTCAATGCTTGCCAACGTTGGTAAATGTTGCTAGATTGCGCTTAAAAATAAATTCAATTGGGATCATTTGAATTAGCACAAATTATATTAGCATTATCTTAAATTATTCTAACTGTGTCTAGAATCAATTTTAAGGATACTTGAACTTTTTTTTGTTTAATTTCTGAAGAGCAGTCTAGCTTAGCCAAATAATTAAATTAGGTCAAATTAATTAAATCAAGTTAAGTAAGCTTAGTCAAGTTGTTGTATTTTCAAATGTTTAAAAAATTATTTAATTTTAAAGGAATGAAGCTCAGAGTATTAATAAAATGAAATTTCAGAAAATTCAATTTCAATTTCATTAATTGAAATATTTATGAATTAAATTCAAATTAATGTATTTTTTTTTTTGAATATCAGACCATCATTATATGTGTAGAACGTTGAAATGAAGGAATTAATAATTGCAATACAACTTTCAACGCTAAAAACATTACGTGTTAGAGAATACTAAAACATGAAGAAATTAGCATGAGGCAGCACATTAGAGAAATCGGAAAATAGTGCAATTTGTCTTTGCGCAAAGACAGTTTGTATTGTGCGAGAGATAAAGAGTGCAGAAAAAAGAGTGCTTTGCTTCTAATAATATGAAAAATCAGTGACTGAAAGTAATAGACGAAATAATATAGTAAAGTGAGAAACTTCAATGAAACCACTAATAATGTATTTCAAGCTAAATATATTAATTTGAAAGGGAAGTTTGGCATTCTTGGGACTGGAACTATTGACGTTTGATTGATGGTGTGGCAACAGTGCTGTAAGGTTGAGGCTGGTGGTGGTACCAGGAGGAAGATGAAGTGATGTGGTTTGTACTCTTTCGAGATAATTTGTTTTTTTCACAACCAAATTTTATTAATTTATGGAAATTGGCGGTGAGATAAGTTGAAGTTAATAGTGATAATTGGTTAGCTGGAATGTTTTCGAATTGGTTGCTAATTATCGTTCCATGAATTTCCAATGAAATATATAAAGAAGCAAGCGATAAGAACATTGTTTATTCTGACTAGTTGTTTGTTGTGATTATTAATTGCTTGGGATTATTTGCTTGTATAATTCCGTTGAGAATGTCAGAAATTTTTTTAGCGGATCGCTATTTGAAGAATCGTCCTCGAAAATCCTTTGCCAAACCTCCCATCAGAAAAAAATCCTTCCTGCGATATTTAAAATTTTCATATTAAGCTATCCTGAAAACATGAGATACATATCAGATATTACCGTGGCCAAAAAAAAGGACGTTGAAACTTCTTTCTAAGAAATTCCCGTCAGCCTTTTCCTGGATGCAGGCTTGAATGTGAGCTTATCAAGAAATTTTTTAATAAGTCGCTTCTTAGATAATTGGCACAAAAGTCGCAAACGAAGTATGGTAAAAAATATCATGCAGTTTCCACGTGGCTGTTTTCTGATCATCGATTCCAAACATATCGTCCATTTTTCTAAGGTTAGTTACTCCCTTTATTTTCTTTGCTCACTAGTGCAACTCATTTGTGTTACAAGTCATTGTTACCTATTATTAATACATATCATCAGTTATTGTAAGTTATTGCCACATCTATTATAAACTCTTGTCACATATATGACTTGTTACGTGTTTGGGTTGATATCTTGTTCTATCACTTAAAGCGTATCAGCCGTCATAACCATAAAGTTTTGAGAAAACTCTTGCAATGGCTCTCTTTGGCTTGTCAGTTCTGTTTGTTGCCTTCCGCGAGTGCTCGAAGCAAATGAATGCTTTGAGTTATTGTGTGCATCAGAAGTGTTCCTGGTTCTTCTCATTCCATCTACCTTGCATTAATTACTTTATTCTTTTCGAAGTGAGTAATGTGTTGCTGTTCTTACTTTTCTTTCCTATGAAGAATGGATCAAGAGAATTGATAGATAATTCTAAAATATGACGTACTGTTGTAGACAAGTGAGCATGGAGGATGAACAGTGCTAAAGATTCAAGTCGATAAAATGATTCATATTGAAGAAGGCCTGATTGGGCAAGACATGAAGAGCATTAATGGAATTCACAAAGCAATATATCAACACATGCTTGCTAAAAGTAAATATCTCTGTATTACGGCGAATTTTAAAGCTATATGGCAAATATGAGAATGAATCAGTTTAAGGAAGATAATGTGTGATTATGGCAATTTCTAATCTTCATGAAGATGATAACATTTTCATGATGAAAATGCTTTGGAAAATGTTAAATGACAAATACGAAAGAAATATGCAGTTCTCGAAATTTCAATTTCCGAAAAGCGAATGATTTACTTAAAAGCGTTATTTATTGATTTTTTTTCATAGCTATTAAGTAACTTACATGAGTTAACAAGCTTCTCATTTTTAGGATAGAATGGTTGAAGAAATTGAATGAATATTATAAAACTAAAGGTTTATTAACAGTAATTCTTGCTGGTGGATGATGGAGAGCTGGAAAAGTCATTCTGGAACTAGCGAATTTCCGTGGCAAGATTTTTATCCAAATTTCAAGGTGTATATCCGGATTTCAGGATTCATTTTTCTGGGAACTTTTCCAAGAATTTGGTCATAGTGATTTCATTGGCATATGTTGTTTGAAATGTCTATGCAGTGTTTAATTCAAAGATTTTAATTATATTCGCTTTGTTTCAGTATTAGAAATAAAATCAGTAAAAAGAATTCCTTGCACAGTTTACATGTTGTATACATATTCCTATATATTTCTCTTACCCTTTTGTTAGACGCAGTTTTAAAATCAAACTTTCTGGAACGCAACAGGTAATATCTTCTGAAAGTTTGCATTTGTTGTACATTATTTCCAAGATTGGTTTTTGTACCGCGTATAGTCGAACATTAAAATTATTTGGGATTCGAATTTTGTAAGACGTTTCACAAAAGATGCTCTTGCTAAAGAAGTTTGTTTTCCTCTATTTAATGCGCGGTGAAATATCGAAAGGAATAAAATAACCGAAACCTTATCTGATAGCTGAAGTCTTTATCGTCCACTCCATGGGTGATCTTTCATCCAAAGTTTGGAGTATGTCACAGAATTAGTATGTTATATCTGGGGTTGATTATGAACGGTATGTAAAAGTCGTGATATTAGTTGTTACGATATGTGAATCTAGTATTTCATCTTTCAAGAATTCTCTCTTTTACTATACTGGTAAGAGGTAGTATGAACTTATCCTCCATTTCAGATGATACCTTCGTTGATCAAATTTTTATTTCACATCAATCCAGTAAATTTCAAAATCTTTGCCATATTTTTGTGGACATTTGATGCTATATTATGCACATTGGTTGTCCGGACGGTACCATGTAAGTTTATTTTTTTCATACTCTAAGCGATTTATCGCTAAGCAGGGAAATGATTAGACTTTTTTCTTAATGGTTGATTCTTCTGATAAAAAAAAGCAACGTTTGCAGATACCGAAATCGATTGGTCTACTTATATACAGCAGGTGAATTGCTATGAACAAGGAATTCGTAATTACTCGAAAATTGAAGGTGATACCGGTCCTATCGTGTTAGTTGATTCCTTCTTTATCTCAGTTTCATTTTCTCTACGATTCGTAAAGGACTATAGAAAGATAGCTTGATAGTTTTGATGACAGCCAAGTTGAATTATCTTTTCTTCAGGCGCGTGGCTGTGTCAGAAATGTAAGCGAGCCGTTCCGATAGATTTTGAGGCGATAAAGTGACCAGACAATAGTAGTGAATTAATAAATGATAATCTGAGCTAAGTATTTGCAACTAGACGAATAGATTTCGTTGAGAAATATATGTTTACTTTAAATCATTAAATAAATGTGATCGAATGATTTACAGGTATCCTGCTGGACATATTTGGTTTTATTTGATTCTTTCTCGTATTACCAGCGGTGGAAAAGACATCCGTACAGCGCAATATATTTTCGAATTTCTCTATTTGGCAAGCTTATTATTAGTTTTCCGTATGTACTACATGAGCAGCAGAGTAAGTTTTGGAGGGATTTCTATTACTACTTGAGAGAAAATGTTGATTTTAAGTCTTTTTTGCGATATGACTCATGATGATTTAGGAATCATTTGAATTATTTCATTGGTTACAGCCATGGAGCTTGCTTTTTCCTTGTATCGATATGGCTCAGCTTACATTTAAATTAGTGAGTGAAAAATGTTCTACACCTAATTAGCCTTACAATGGCATAATATCCGCATATATCAGTTCATTTCATTAGGATTAAAATTTCCAAATTTCAGTTTTTTTTTGAAGTGAATTAATTCAGCATTGTTGAGTGGATCGATTTTTCTTTTCAGTTGCCTCCATTTGTGCTCATTATACTGTGTTGTATATCGTACCGGATTCATTCTATCTATCTTCTTCGATTATTCAATGATCCTGTTGCAATGCTGTTCTTTTACTTGGCTGTCAATCTCTGGATTAACCATCGTTTTCAAATTGGTTCCTTATTTTACAGGTTCTCTCTTTTGCCGTATTATCTATGAATTAATTTAATTTTGATGATTTAGAAGTTATGAAAACTTCATCCATATTTTTACATGTAGATGATTAATAATGTTATGAAAACTTCATTCATATTTTTAAATGATTAATAATGTTTTCAGTTTGGCAGTATCAGTGAAAATGAATACACTGTTGTTTTCTCCAGCACTTTTGTTTATCCTCCTTCTAAATACTGGTTACTGGAATACGTTCAAGACAATTGTATTATGTGCTACGGTTCAGGTAAACCATTTAACAGTCATCAATATTAGAAGTAATATATATTTTTTTGCGCACTTTTTTTCTTCATCTAATCTGATGCCTGAGAAAATTTTACATCGGTTTTAGTAAAGAAGATGTCAACTTTGTATTTGTAAAGAAGTATGTATGCTTAAAACTAAGGAGTATTCCGAATTAATTTACTTCTTTTATACCGTGAACCATTCACCATGGTTAACCACAAATGTTATACTAATTGAAAAATAAATCATTGTCAAAGGGAAATCAGATAAATTAAGTACTGTTGATAACATTAATGTATAGTGATTTTGATAGTAGTAATGATTTTGATATTCTTAAAACTTTGATGCACTTTTTTCACTTATTTTTTGATAATGTATCGGTTTTATAGATTGTCGTAGCACTTCCATTTCTGTTGCACGATCCATTCACGTACTTGCAAAGATCTTTCGATTTGGGTAGAGTTTTCCTCTTCAAGTGGACGGTGAATTGGCGATTTTTATCAGAGGAAATATTTTTGGATCATCGATTTCACATATTATTATTTGCGACTCACATTTTTCTGCTTTTCCTTGCTGGTTACTTATGGTTTAGGTATTGTTTATGTCATTTAGCATTGGTTTTTATCAAGTTAAGCGTTAATTTCATTCGATTATTGGAAACTTTTTCTGAATTCTAAATGAATTTGTTTCTGTTGATGGAATTATTCTTTCTAATACCTTTGCATTATAATTCCATCAATTACTTAGAGCGAGCATAAAATGTTAAAATATAGCGAAGAGTTTTTTCTTACTACGTTATATACAAGATAAAATAGCTGCATCATCTGGCTGTGGTCATAAACTGATTTGAAGTGATAGCAGAAATGTCACATAAAATTGTGAAATTGAATGGTTTTAGGCGATATGGAGGATATATGCATATGTTATCAGTAGTGAGCTATAGTAAATTGTTGTTGAGCACTAATGGTATGTATTCCTTTTTACTTCAATTTCATCTCAAAAAAAGTATTAAAAAATCCTATCACTCAATCTTTATTTCAGTTTGTTGCGTTAAAACTCTTCTTTTATTGTAATAAGATGACCTCTATCAAGATCCAGTTCAATATTTGTCATTTATTGGATAATCCTAACTTTTAAGAGTTAGATGGATCTACATTTTTTGAAGTAATACTGAATTTTCAGAAATGCTTATTGCTTTATTCACAGCAAATTTGATTGGTATATGTGTTGCCCGATCATTGCATTATCAATTTTACAGTTGGTATTTTTATACACTGCCTTATTTATTATTTGCTGGTTTACCATTCAATAATGATTGGTTCTTCACGAACGAAGTAACATCCACGCAAAAGTAAGTCTTTTATTTTGTCCACTATTGTTTGAATGCAGTAATATAGTACTAGCAGACTTCATTGTCTTAAAAATATTTGGAATACTTTTTGTTGAAATCAAAAATTAATGTGTCGAAATCGAAATGCAAAATTTTTATATTCAACTATTTATAAACATAAATCATGTGTGATTCAAATTCACAGGTCCACTGCTGCTGTATCACCATTGTCGGTAATCTTACGGTACGTTCCTTAACGAAATTTTGCATTTCATATGTAACTTTCAGCATCATTAACTTGAACTTCAAACTGTCGAGTTACACAAATTGTTAATATATTCCATTTACTGACAAGCGTATGTTCCTACTGACTTAACTACTAAAAAGATTCAGTGAAAAGTGAAGTTTGGCTTGTTTACTTGCTCTGAAGTACAAATTATTAGTTATGTAAGCCAAAATGAAGGCGTTCAGTAGAAGAGTGAGCATCAAAATATATATCGAAATAGAACTACTTATATCGTGGACTACATTCAAAGAAATCGATATAAGCATAAAAGGTTGTGGATTTTTAGTTGCTGTATTCTCATTGGAATCGAGATATGCTGGAACACTTATCCTTCGACAGTTATCAGTTCAACAATGCTTCACTGCTTCCATATAACCATATTTTACATATTGATACATGATTATTACAGTGATAGTAATCTGACAAAACATAAAATTATGTAAACCTATTTCTTTTGCTTTTCTGTCTAATTCGACACCTTATCAAGTTTGTTTAAACAGGTTTAAGATTAGTCGATCATGGGGCGCAAAGTTTCAGGGGAAAATAAGATAATGGGAGGATGATGGCGGGACGATTCAAGTATTTATGAAATTTTGATTGCTTGAGAAAGAGTATCGGCAGAAGCTTGCATATATTAATGGTATTTAACTTCTAAGATTTGCTTGAATAAATCGACCAAGGAAGAAGAAGCGACATAAATTCACAGATTTTTACTTTCGCTCACCTAGGTTGATAAGTCTAACACATCATAACTGATAACAGAAAATAAAGCACAAAGTTGAAATCATTAAATGAATTGCTTAATTTAAATAGGTAGTGATGTTTTTGCAGGTAAATAGGGATCCATAATAACTGCAACTATTATGTTGTTTGTAATGAGAACATTAGATGACCTTATCGATGTTCTGAATATATCATAGTGGTAGGTTATGTTTTATTTTTTTTTTTTATAGCTTGGATGCATACTGATATTTCGTCTTTGTTATTCCTTTGTTTTTTATTATATCAGTTTTTAGACCACTCGAATAGACATTTTGTGTCTCTTTATTATTGTATTTCTGAAATATCGAAGTTAAATGATCGGTTGGGCAATTATGATTCATATAATATTTATGGGATATTTTCTTAATTTCTATTACTTGATGTACATTTTGTTCAAATTATAACAAATTATATAGTTAACATGGAAAGGAAAGCGGACTAAGTGAATTTATTCTAGAACTGTCCTATATCTGGATAATAAATTAATTAATTTGAACGGTAATATTTTTGCAAATAAATAGGGATATCATCCATAATAACTGGAACTATCATGTTGTTTGCAATGAGAGATCTTATCGATCTTCTGAAGGAGTACAGTGATAGGTTGTTATGCTTTATATATCTTTTATATATCTTGGAATAAATAAGTTGTACAGTGTAATCATCACGATACTATAAGCCAAGTTATTGAAATTGTTATATCTGAGCAGATGAAGGTCAATATAATACCCATATAAGCATGTTCTTTTATCATTTCGCCTCATCAAATTTAAAACGAAGCTTTGATGGGACAGTTCAGAAGGCAGAATAATTTCAGGATGATGTCTTGGCCTTCTTGTTCTCGTATAGTTTTATCTTTATTGCATAATTTGTTGATGAATTCAAGAAAATGTTTTGGTCACATATCCCTTAAAAAGAAAGCGGTTGGTAAGCATTTCCTATGTACTGTTTCGGAAGGCATCTTAATTTTCGATCGTGAAGCAAAGAGAATCCAACGCAACAGAGCTGCCCAACTGGATGATTATAATGTTTGTCAGTACGTGAAAGTCAGTTATTATTTAATTTTCATTTCTATATTACAGAAAATATCTTGTGTAAATGCTCATTTTGTTTTAGCTAATGTTGTGCTAAAAAGTCAAATTTTAAGTCTAACTACCATCTTTCGGGAATTCTTTTACTAACCAAAACTAAAATTCGACATTAAAATATCACAATCACATATGTAAATGCAAATGCATCGAGATAAGTAATGGAATGTAATCAATAAATTATCGTACATCACAATATTAGTTGTTTTTATGTTAGTGTGCTTTTCCGATGAATTTACAATATTGATTGCAACGAATCTACACTGTTATTTTATGTTGGTCGCTTGAAATTTTTTTTGTTCTTATTGTGAAACAACGTTCTGTTAGTGATATGAGACTGCTCAGTGAGAAGGAAGACATGGTAAACAAACTTTCATTGAACCAAAGTAACGTTTGCTGTGGACAAATTTAAAAGAAAAAATCGAACGCTTGTATTTAACAATAACAAATTTGTTCTGATTGATCGTATCAGTTAGCTTTTTAATCTTTGTAATTTTGATAAGATAAGCTCTAATTCACTTATCCAATTCTGAAATCATTGGAAGCATTTGTAATGAACAGATTTCAGGATGAAATAGCTTATCGTGTGGCGGACAAAGTATTCGACTTAACGAAATTCAACGATGTTTGCATTGATATCGGATGTGGTAGTGGCCATGTTGCGATGAATTTGATTAAGGTGATTTTAAATTTGGTAAATTGTCTATTGTCCGTTCGTAATGATGGCTAGCAGTGTGTTTATTCCAGCACTTCGAATTCAGTAGCTTAACGGAATCATATTACGATTTGGGAATAGGAAGAATTAAGTGATATTTATTGTAAGTCATCTGAAAAAATATTGATTGACCCATAAGCACTGGAAAATAAAGACGTCTAGTCCGTTGGGATGTTTTGACTTTTATGTTACAAGCTTTTTGAAAAAGGCCTGTAGACATCTTTCTTCGCTCTACGGTCATGTTTCCAATAGAAAGTTTGCTATATAGTTTATTTGTGATTGCAATAAATTTTCACAATTTCATCCATATTTAAAATCGAGAAAATGCGAAAAAAGTTAAATAAAATAAAACTGTTTCCATGGAAGAGGGTTAAAATTGCATAACAACATGAAATTTGGATGGTAAGTGGTTGAAGTATCTATAAATGCACAGGAAAATGTGGGTATCATTATTCAATGTGATATGAGCGCGGGACTAATACGACGAAGTGAACGTGCAGCGGATCCTGAAGTACCCGTTTTGAGTGTCATTGCAGACGAATCAATGGCACCTTTCCGGGAAAAGTCAGCTGATTTGGTGGTGTCTAGCCTCAGTGCCCACTGGATTAATGATCTCACTAAATGGTTTCTATTTGTTTGTTCTATTGAGATGAGAAGATGCCAAAAAAAAAAAAAAAAACAAAAAGAACGTCATTATTACCTATCATTACTACAATCAGTACTTTCAATGTTTATTCCATGTTTATGGAATATAATCAATGTTTATTCCATAACATTGATGCCGTTGCTTAACCTGCCTATTGGTTTATTTATCTCACAAAGTTTGCTATGTGATTACTTCTACCAAAGTGCGAAACTTCTCTTTTTCTCAATAATACAAATAACTGTAAACTCTGTAAGAAGAAAATAATAGAGACTAGAATAATATAAGTAATATGGCAAGGATATCCCAATGCATTTTTGCATCGGTTTTTCTTGTTTTATGACATTTTATTTTGGATGGTCAAGTTAGGATGTAGAAATGATACTTAGGTTTTGATATAATGCATGAACTCTTTCCGAACGATTCATCCTACAGGATTTCAGGTTCTCGCGTTGTTTATCGATCCTTCGTCCTGATTGTCCCCTGATTGGTGCTATGCTAGCCAATGAAACATTACACGAACTTCGGATAGCCTTACAATTAGCTGAAATGGAGAGGTTGGGCGGCATTGGTTTACATATTTCACCGTTCGTTCGAGCGGATGATGTCGGGTCACTGATGAGTCAGGCTGGTTTTGGAATGATCACATTGGACACCGATGAGCTGACGGTAGTAGTAATATTTGTCGTTGATAATATTTTTGGGTTTGTCAAATGCTTTCTTTTACAGGTTCATTTGTGTTTTTTTTCTGATTTTTAAGGCATCATTTTTTCCAGGTCGGTTATCCGAACATCTTTACGCTACTCTATGATTTACAAGTAATGAGTGAGTCGAATGCATTACGAAATCGATCAACGCATGTTAGGAAAGATATTCTGATAGCTGCTGATGCTATTTATAGGTAAGAGTGTTGTCTAAACGTAGTTTGGCATAGAATCTTGTAGAATATTTGTTTCTATATAAATCTCCATCTATGAATGTTTGTATGTGGAGCGAAATTTTTTCAGGTCAATGTTTTCTCGCGACGATGCTCCATGTCCAGCAAGTTTTCAAATTGTTTCATTTATTGGTTGGCGTCCTGGTCCTTTAATGCCTAAACCAGCCAAACGTGGGTCACAACAGGCATCATTCAAAGATATTGGTAAAATTATCGAAGGGAAGATGCCCTTCCCAGAGGAGCATAGTCCGAAATAGGATAGGAGACCTTTAGGATATCATTTGAAGAAATCAGCCGATGTTGTGCTTTTCTTCGCATTGTTTATTATTGAAAGATTTTCCATGCATTTTAATTTGGTCTCTATCATCTTTTGTTCTGCATCTTCATTATAATTATCTCCATTTTTGTGAAATATAGTTTTTAGATACACTATTACATCGATTAGAAGTTCGGCAAATCATAACGTAAGTGAAACAAAATTGGTGGATTGGGAAGTCATTGAAAATTAGGCACATGTATGTCAATGCGGAATTAATTAAGTTTAAAATCTTCAGAAGATAAGCAGACGTACAGTGAAATTGATCGGAATGAAGTTAAAAGCCAAACTAGAATTACAAACTTCCGAGTTTTCTTTAAATCAATAACTATAAAGAAAATTTAAAAAAATAGTTTTTCCCATTATTCTTTTTTTATCAGCCGTTGGCCACGATATAATCTGCTTTTCCTATATCACCCGGATTTTTGAAATGATGAAATATTTTTCATAACTTCAGGCTAATATTTTTGTATTCTCCAATCTTCTGTAGCAACTCTTGGTTTACTGACCATCTCTGCCTTCACCATCGCCTCACAAACGAAATACATGTATTGCTTACACTGTTAAAATATTACCTCTCCGGAACTATACAAATTTTTTACACAATGCTGCAAGTGTTCACATGGCTAAATACAACTGAGCATATGTATTTGGCTCCTTCACCAACCGTAGCTGTTTTGAAATGTTAATGTCAGTTTAAATTATCGATAGTGAAAGGAATTTTCAGGTAACGCCCAAAGAATTAAAATGACATACTTTGGTAAAGGTTGGAAATGGGGAAGCTATAAGTTGAAATGTTTCCAATACATGTCTGTTATTTATGTTGCTATATTAATGAAAATCTCGGAATATTTTTGTTCAACAACTGAAATAATACTGGGAAATTTTGAGACTTCATCAAATTTCATAAGTAATGGATGCTTGTCGGACGAAATTTCCCAATGGAATAGTTTAATACTCTGTGAAAGTAATCAAATAAAGTTTTCGATTTATTCCCAAAGAAAAATATGAATGAAAATTAGACAAATTAACGTGATCATAATTAAGGCATCCAAGTAATGTTCAAATTTGAATAGTCGAGTAAATGATAGCATTTGAAAGTTTCAGATTTGATAAACTGATAGCAAATCTCAACACTTGGAAGGAGCTTTCAATTTTTCTTTTCTTTTCAAATCAAATGCAAATATGTACATGTACATATAAGCTTGTTAAATATAAAGTATACATTGTAATCTTTATGAGAAGATTGATGCTTTTTAGGGGTTCAGCGATTATTATATCACGCTAATATTTACAAATCGAGTCGATCGATGAATAGAAAAAGGCAAGAAAAAGAACTGAATATCTTATTCAATTATTTCTATTATAAATGCGTTATTATATATTCAACAGGGATCAAATAATTTCACAATTTATATGAGTCGCAACAAAGCTATTAATGTTAATTGATTTTAAATAATAATATCAAAATCTAGTTGGTTCATTTCATTTTTTATTGTGCTGAACAAAATTGTATATAACCCTTTCATTCTAAAGCGGAATTCCTCTCCACAAATGTCACATATGTTATGTCCCCATTTCACTCTAATAAACTTTTAATACATTTGATTTAAGAATTCATACATCAATTTGAAGTTAAGTGAGTGCACTTTATTAATTTCTCTTTTTTTTTCTTCTTGATGAAACTCACATATCACTGGATCAATTCTTCTTTTTTTTACAGCTCATTTGAATTTATTAAATATTTTGAAATCCTTGCACTTGGCTAAAGTTATTTAATTTTTTTTTTGTTCAAAACTATGAATATATCGCGAAAATGTGCCGTACGTTTGTTGGTTTGTTGAATTTCTTGAATATTTTTTTTCAGGGTCTCTGTTCAAAATATTGTTATTCGTCAATGTGAAGGTGAATTTTTTGGAAATGATCAATCGATCGATTCATTCAGGAATTTCTTGTTTTTTTTTTTTGGTTACTTTCTCTTTTCTTTTTTTTAATCAAAAAGAAATATCCTATAATGGTTGAAATAGATGTAACAAAGTGGTATTTTTGGAAAGAGAAAAAATGAAAAAAAAAAAAGATTAATTACATTACAATGCCAACTGACATACAAGTTTTTGATGATATGATGTAGATGATTTGAATATTGATGTAAATTGTAATCATCCATTATTGATATGTTACATCCTGATAACAATTTTATGACATTTCTTTTTGTTTAACACAACCCATCTAATCTTTCATTCATTTTTTTATAGTTTGGCATGAAATGAAATGAACATGATCGATGATCGATCGATCTATCCATTTATGTCTAACTTTTCATATTTCCCATTTTCTCCTTTTTTTTATTGCCATTTGATCCATTATTACTATTTGACATTTTTATCACTCTGGTATCATTTTTATCACTTTTATATCAATTTCATATCAATTTTACATATCAATTTTTCATATCAATTTTACTACTTATATATCAATTTGATCACTTTTATGTTATAAGTACAAGACACCGATTTATTATGCCATGTGGGTATACATTTCAGTTCATATTTGATTTTTTTTTTGATGAAAAGTCTTTGCTTAAATAGGACATCAATCAGTGATGATAATATGCTATTAGTGAATAGATAAATATGCTGATAAGTATTTATTTACTGATACATATCAGTATCATGAATTTCGCAACAAAAAAATAAGAACAAGAATTAAAAATAAGGAATTGAAGTTGGGATTATATGGGAATATTTGCAATTATTTCATTTACTAATTTAATTAAATGCCTATTAAAATAATCTGTCTTTTATAAATATATATTAAAATTGTGTTCTTGAAAATATGTATATATTAGATTTCCAATGAGAAGTTATTGTTTAAGGCATTTGAAGTTATGTTAAATGTTAAATAACATAAAGTATTCATAAACAAAATATCCCATAATTACACTTCTTTTTTTTCTCCCCTTTTCATTCATCTAATTAATAATATTTGCATCTAATCAACATAACTATTATAAAAAATAATTATCATCCACTTAGTGACAAAATGATACTGAGGAAATGTTTAAAATAAAGTAACGTCATAAAAATATTATAAAAAAAAAAAAAAAATAAGATAAGTGGCTTTAATTATGGATTTAAAGTATCGTTAAGTTACAAAATAAAATGAATCGAGTAAAACGTTCAACATGTTTCCAGAAATATAATCTGGTGACAATGTCATCAATATGTTACATCATTTAACAACAATTCTATTACGTCAATAAGAACTTTTAAATTTAGGTCATATGTACTTTCAGCATTTATCATATAATAGATAAAAGAAATCATAACTTAATGCGGAAATTTCATAATGTCATAATGACAAAATTTTCTCCTCAAATGGTCAACATCAGTATTTCACTACTATTGGATTGATTAGTTTTTTCTTAAATATCATTCATCCGAATATATGAGACTAATGATATTTCGTTCAACATGTTTCCTGAAATATAATCTCAAATAATTTTCCAATTGGCAGCTATTACTTTTAGCAAAAAAAAAAATCACCAGTAATATTATTGATTAGTTTCCTCGTATTGTCCACTAAACTTTTTAGCTCATCAGCTAATTCTGTCTGATATCTCATTTAACTTTTGCTTTGTGTTTACGGTTAAACTTTTTGTGTAATAGTAAATGCTAAAATGTATTGTACTGCTCGTTTTTTTATTCTTATTATTACCGGAAATGTCATCATTTCAGGCTTGTATTACCTATTGACTATTATTAATTACTGGGCTAATAAGTATAAAGTTGTTCTGTTACCACTATTGTTTATCACCACCAATGTTACCATTGTTACCAATTATTACTAATTGTTTATTATCAGTACTATCATCCATTGTTTATCGGTCGTCACAATCACTACTCAACACTTTTTTTGTTTTTTATGCAACTAATTACGAATATATAGGTCCTTAATTATATTTTGCCACTTACCGAACATATAGACCTTTAGTAATATTCCGGCACTTCCTGGATATTTCGACATTTCCCAGATATACCAATTCAAATGTGTTTTATCCGCTGCTATTTGACACCACGATTGATGAGATGACAAATAAGAGATAGAAAGTTTGTCATTACATTCATCGGATGGATATCTTCTTTCAAAATATTTGTATAACTTATCCATTCGTCTCAAATAAATAACACCTTTCCATCCCTTTACGTATAATTTTCCAATTTGTACGTGAAAATTTCCGTTCAACAATCAGACATTGTTGAACGGAAGTGTTATTATAGCAAATGGAAGAGACACTGTTGACAAACAAAAATGTGAATATTTTGTTTACTAAGAAGGATTAAACATGAAGAAAAGAAGTTAAATGGAGGAGAGAATCAAAGAAGAAAGGGTGAGAGAAAGAACAGCAAAATGTACATTAAAAGATATTATGTCATATTTTTTTCATTTTTTTTTCCCTCCTCTTCTTCTTTTACTAATTAAATTGATTTTTAATTATCAAATTTTCTGATTTCATAAGCTTTGCTTATTTAACACTTAATTTCCTTCCAGAAATGATTGAAATACATGTTTATTGACATTTTAAACTGGTAATTTTCTTTTTTCTTAAATGTCATTTTCTATCACAATTTATATAAAAGCTATTAGTTTTGTTTCCTCCGCTTTTTCAGTTTTTTCACTTTTAATTATTAATTTTGAAATCGTCAAAAACTCATACTTTAGTAAACTGACCACTATGTTACTTAAACACACTTTAACAACTGACCACTATATTACTAAGTACAAATACGAATAGGAATTTTCATAGCGAATGTTGTACACAAACAAGGAGAGAATAAAACGGTCAAGGTTAATTATACTTTCGATAAAACGATCAAGGTCATGATACTGATTGTAACAGTCAGGGGTGGTCATAATACCGATGAAATGGTCAACAAATGG